TGCACACAGGAGGAAAATCCATAGAAGGCTCAATAAACAGACCTAATACTCCGCTTCTTCAATAAGTTAATTGGCTCCAAGTAGCATGCAAATAGTTCAGAGATTAAGGATGTTATAATATTCATTTTAATTCACACAGTAATATCTATGACATCTACTACAGAGCAGTTTACATCCTAGAACACAACCACAGTGTTATTCTCTTTTAATTTAGGGCATTTAGCAAATAAAATTTTAATGTAACCAGAATTCAATCACAAAATATAAGAACAAACCTTTCTTCTTGCTTTATATTCACCTTAGGTTGCTAATATGTTAATGATCTTCAAATTCTAAGTACTGTCCCTAAGGCTGTTAAAATTTTCATCATATATATTTAAGCATATAACTGAAAAATCATTTACAGAATATTTGATGAACAAGTCTATAAAACAAACTGAAAACCCAATTTCACCTAAAAGTTTCAAAAAAGAATTCCTCCTGAAGAACCAACACTATTCGAACCTACAAAACCAGTTAATAATGTAGTGAATTTTACTCTACAAACTTGATACAGAAAACATTCACGATACTCCCAGAGAAACATTTCTACCTGCATTCAGGAGTTCCACATCTCTTTGGAAGTATCGTATTTTACTCCATAAAAAAAATCGTAACTATTGCCAACAATCTGACTGATATTGTACTGACTGTTAAACCCCCCCCCCAAAAGCTTGGGGAAAAAAACTATTCACCGGGGTACGGTTACAGTACTGATTACAGACCAATACTGTCTTTCCTTTGTGCTTAAGTTCATTACTTGTGACCAAATTATAAAGTCATGGTTGGTAAGCTATGATTATTTTTTTAACCAGAAACCTTGCAAGGGTTGCTAAACAAGGCAGACCATGAGCATCATTGTAATATTTTAACAAGTTTACCAGGACTGAACTAAAATTTCCAGAACGGGGAAACTTTCCTAAGATTTTACCAAGGAGTTCCACTATTGCGCATGCTTCGTGAGTCACTATTCTTTAGCAAGTGCTGTAACACTTATAAAGACTTTTGTCTCCTAACACTTCCTTATAGTAATGAATGGCTATTGCTGTATTCGTTTGTTAACCTGATATTAGTAAACTAACAGTTACTAAGATGATGAAAATCTCTTGCTATTTTCTACCTAATTATCCCTTAAAAATAAATCACTTTGCACATACTGACCTGAGTTTTTCTCCATCAAATGTCAACTGAGAAAATGTTTGGTACCAAGTAAAAATGCACGGGGACAAGTTCAAATAATCTTCCCTTTGTTTATGAGCCATGTCTTAAACAACAGCTGTAACACCATTAACAACTTTCAATTAAAATAAAAATATCTCTTAACAGTGAAACGCTTTTGGTCAATGGTCAGAAACTCACTAATCTTCACAGGAAACACACACACCCAAAAAAAAAAATAGAGAAAAAAAAAAAAAGAACCGTCTAGGATATGAGAAAGGAAAACGAAAATTGTAAAAAAAAAAAAAAAGGCAGGTTTTCGACTTGAAGTTTTCCGATTACTGCCCTTCACTTTCTCCATAAGCAGAAGCCGCTTCTAAAACAGTAAAACCCTTCCTAGGGTTGGGCAAAGAACACCCGCCACAGGGTGGAGACGGCCACAGACAGGGCGGAGGACGCCGCCGAGAAAGGCCGCCCACCGGAAAGTCCCAGCCAGCGTCCCTGCCCCTCCCCCCTCCCCGTGCCCCTCAGCTGGCGGCTGGTTCCGCGAAAAAGAACGACCTAGGCTGCGCACGCACCCTAACGTCATTGCGTACGCTCCTCCCTGTGGCGAGGGGCCTGACGTCACGGGGCGGAGCCTGCCCGAAGGCCGCCGCTGTTGACCCGCTGTTGCCAGGCGCGCGCACAGCCAATCAGCAGTCGGCGCCGGCGCCGGCCGGCCTTTGAACTCCGCACGGCAACTTCCTGCTGTTTGGCGAGTACACAGTGCAATGCAGTATGTCTGTCAGCGCTGCGGCACAAAGGAACAGCCATTTTGTGACTGAGCTGGACCTGCACCAAGATGCCAGGGGCTCAGAGCTGCTGCCTGCGCTAACTACCAAGCTGCCCTTTATTTCAGTGCCAGAGAACGAAAAGGAGGGAAAGGGGCAGATGTTTTGGTAATTCAGGTTTCAATTTGCTTTATTTTTCAGTCTTCTCAAAAATATCCCGACTCTTAAGAATTATCAGCATCATAAAATGGCTGCCACTTAAAAAACTCCCTGTTCCAGTTCACCAGCAACTGCATTATGCCAATTCCTAACCATCACCAGCCTTTTAAGACTGACAACTAAAAGGCTGATTTAAAAAGCAGATTTTGCCCGCAGCTCAGCTTATCAAAATAAATCTGGTTCAAAGGCAGAGGGTTTGGAGATAAATTTTAATAAACTTTTATGATAAAATCAAAACGCAGCGTCCCAGAAGACAGAGCTCTTTGTGTGCACACTTCCACTCGCTTTCCCTTCTCTTCCCATTATTTGCTATTACTGAAGTCACCCCAACTCCGAATTCTTTTTAGGTAAGTGTGTGAGCCTCATTTCTCAGTCCATCCCTAAAACTTTGTTTCAAATACTTAAAACTTACAGATACCAAATCAAACATTTTTGAAAGTGAACTTTTAACCTTCAAAAACCATGACATACAACGTGTAACATTATACTTACGCATTAACTTCAAAAGAGTAACAAACTTACATAATGACTATTAAGTATTGCCATTATTTCCTAAAACAGGAAAAGACCAGATCTACCCAAACTTACATTCAATTCTCTCAGGTCCTAAAGTAATTTCACAGACCAAAAAAGTTTACTTGGCCTGCAAACTCCTCCCTTCCTCTCTGATGGCTCAGGCTGCAGAAGTGACTTTTCTAATATTCCCCAAACACTAGACTTTGTGCCATTGAAACTAGGTCCTTATGGAGAAATTCTGAAGCATTCAGGAACCAAGTACTAGCTATGGTAAGTCATAGTTTTAACTCACTTAAAAATACTAGCTATAGTAACAGTCATAGTTTTAGCTCACTTAAAAATAACAATTTACTACAATAAAACATCACTAACATTCTCTTAGCTTTACAGTTTTTAAAGGAAGTGATGTCATAATTATGTACATGTATTAGTATGCAATTTAGGGGGAACAGTAATTTAAAACTCCATCTTCTTTTCAAAGTGTCTGAACTATTTCACACTCATCAGGTGTATGAATCAAAATATACTTGACAACACATTCAAAAGTACAGTGCATGCTTCTAGTTAAGCTGCAACCCCATAACCAGAAGACAAATGCATAGCAACTTGCATGTTTTCCAGGTCAGAGTCAATCATTAAAAGAAAGAATAACAAAACCACTTAATTTTTTTAAATTAGAAAGCAGAGTCTGATCAATGACGTTAACCACAAACCTTGCATGAGAAAGCCAAAACCCATGTGAGATATGCAAATCATACACTCAAGGGAGTACCAATTTTAGGTATTGAATCTTTAATAATTTGTCAAAGATTCCTGGGGATTCCTATTTCTTCAAGTCATCATCACTTTTCAGAAAAATCAGTTTAGAATCAGTAGTTTTCTGTCCTTAATCTAGCCTAGATAATTACACGGGTAATTCAGTTTCAAAGACAGCAATCCAAACTATGTGACAACTCAATTTGCAAACGAATTTGGAAAGGTATTTTTCAAAGCAAGGGTGAAAATATTTTAAGTCTTATAAAACAAATAAGAATTCAACATTAGAAATAAACCATGTTCAAAACTTTCAAATCACTAACCAAGTAATACATATGGTTTATAAAAAATTATAAAAGTAAAAGCAAACTGGGGAGGGAAAAAATTCATATAAACCAATCAAATTCTTGTTAAATGCATCAATTTAAAATTTGTAATGTGACAGCTCATAGAACACACATCAAGAAATATATTCATACATACTTTGTAAAATTAATATACAGATCATACAACAAAACATCTTAGAGGCTTTTCATACAACAAAATATCTTAGAGGCTTTATTACTTAGTCACTAATACGGTGAACTCCAACAAATGTGAAACAAATCATGATTTGAACAAACAGTAACATTTGTAAGCTTCAGAAGATAAAGCATTCCAGACGACTCTGTCGAAATAAATCAATAAATTTAAAGCAGCTACAACTAAAATGTGAGGTTAAAACACTACATCTACCAACCAGTGAAAATTGTCTAAATATAAGCATACAAATGCAAACCTTAAAGTATTTTAAGTATCAAATAAACAATTAGAATCACAGTAACACACACAAAACAGAAGCATATTAATCGTATTCCAAGATTTCTGTGATCACAGGTTTGATTTCATAAATGCAGGAACTGTAACCATCGAGTGTAAAGGTTTTGATTAAATCTTATCAAAATTTCCTAAAATGTCAACAGTATCAAAAGAAACAGAGAGTCAAATAAAAATATAAACTGAGAGGCATCAGTCAAAGGGTCCTTTTTGCAATTTCATTTTAAAATGTACATTTTTTCATTCATGTAACTTTCTCAAATGTCTATTTACTATAATTTACTACCACAAGGCTCCTCTATGGCCTTCAGTTACTAGTTTGGGTATCCTAGATTTTTCAAAGAAAAAATTTGCCTTGTATGTAAAATGGTGCAATGCAGCAATGGCTAAACCGACAAGGTCATTTTCCCACAGCATGAAAACCTAAAAACTGAAATTTACTGTCAAAAAACCTGTGGTTTGCAGGAAAGGCCCCCTTGAATAAAGGTACCTTACCTTTTGACTGCTGTAAGAGGCCTTAAGTCACAACTTAACTTTCATAAATTGCTACCAAAAAATTAGGGTGTGGCATATTAGCAATCTCAAGGTCACGCTTTAAAAAACGAACTCAAATTAGTAAAATATTTAAAATAAAACAGACAGCTATCCTTGTCTGTCAAGGTAAACAATGTAAGCTGAGGTTTCCCCAAAAAAAAAGAAAAAAGGAAGAAAGTTGATAGCTCATACCTCGATGCATTGCTGTGTAGCGAACTGTCCTCCTCTTGGCTTTTGTCCTTATTTCTCATCATCTTTTAATTCTTAAATATTAAGGGGGAGGGGGAATCTGTGTTTGCTTTGAAGTCCTGTGCCCAGGTATTTACTGTCAAAAGTTGAAAGAAAGGTAAGGTCCCAGCTTCTATCGATGGCTTTTATTATCAGGAACAAAGTCCTGACTATGTAACGATATTGTTATAACACAACGGCGGTAAGCACCAAAAAACAAAATATTTCTATTTTTTCCTTTAAAAAAAAAAATGATAAGCCGAACAGAGGGAATCATCATCACTATCAATAAGGAAAGTTTCTCAAAGTAACACACTGGATACAAATAACAATCTCTGTATCTTATTGCGTCATCCAGGAATTTCACATATTTACGGAAAATAGAGCAAACTTAAACATGTAAATCTTTTAAATTACCACTAATGATCGTGAACTTACCTGATCCATGTAGTAGGTCCAAAGCAAGAGTCCTATCTAGTAGTAGAAAAATATCAGATCCCAAATAATTAAAAATAAAAACAAAATTCTCCGTTAAAAAGCAAAAAATAAATAATATAATCCTCAAATATGTTAACTGTTCAAAAAAATAAAGCAACAAATAATCCTGAAACGGGTCCGGAAGAAAAAAAACCTCATTAGGAGAGCGCACAAAAATGGAGGTGCGCCATGGCTTCTAAGCTGGAAAAACAACGACCTGGGCTCGCAGTACGGCTGCTTCTTTCCAGCAAGGCACGAAAAGAAAGCTCCCAAGAGCTGCTTTTCCCCCTAAAAAAGGCTCGAATCGACCCCAGTAAGCCACTAGGAGAGGCAGGGGGCTGCGGGGGCCCCCTGAGGCTGCCCGAAAGTTAGGGAAAGTTGCGTAAAGTGAGGCGAAGGCTGGGAGCTGAGCGCGCTCTCTCTAAGGCACAGCCGCCATCTAGAGCCTCCTTCCCAGCTCTGAGCTCTGCCTTTGATTGACACTCTCTACATTTACCCCACAACTCAGGTGATGTACCATAGACCCACCCCTTCATCTCCACCAAAAAAAAAAAAAAAAGATCCTCCATCCCAGGGAGCCTAAGGACCCCTACCCCCACCCCTCCCTGCCCCTCCAGACCACCCCATCAGGCGGAGGGGGGAGGGTTTCTTAACCCCCTCTGGCTCAAACACCCTTTTTAAGCCAGAGAGAAATGTAATTTGTTCCTTTTGTCTAAAGATCTGCTAAATATTTCAGTCCTTGAGCTAAAATAACTTCCTCTCTGGACAGGAAGTGGTGTTTTATCAAGCCATTTTGAAAAAGGGATAATTCTTAGGAGAATATAAAGCTCGGCTTAAGTACTAATCTTTTTTAAAACTACCCCCCACCATGGTAAAATTGTTTCTAAATAAAAGCAAAACCTCAATTTCATAAATTAAAATTCAACTTTTGCCTCCCTTATGAAGCCTAAAAATTATCTAACGATTAAGTTTAAGGGGGAATTTTCCATCCCAACTGGAAGGAAGGGGCACAAGAGCGCCTCCCTAGTGTTCAGTTGCATTAGGGCAAAAATTAATGCAACTAGTTTTTTATTCAAAAATCTCAACTTTTCCTTGTATTTTCACAAAATTCTTTAACCCATTATACAACCTTGCCAAAATCATACCCCAAAATTCTCATACCATACTGATTCAGGCAAAACAGTGTTACTGAATTCAAGAGCATGGAACTACCAATGAAAAAACAAACCCAAGGAACTCCACCTCCAAAACCAACACATGTATTTCAACCATCCCCTTGTATTCCGAATCAAATTCTAAGTATATACCCATTTCAACAATGGTAAACTAGTAACAACCTGTCATATCTGATGGAAAAGTTACCAAAGTAATGTCACAGGGCAAACTCTCCTACATATCAAAACCATGACATTCACGTAAACAAAATCACTATGCCAAAACCAAATCATTCAACTTTCTCAACAAGCACCCCAAGAAAACATTCACACAACCAAAAACAATCAACTCTCCTTACTCAACGTTATCAGCCAGACCACCACCCTTCCCTCACTGAAAAGCCAACTTGAGACTTATACTCAACAAAAGCAATAATTTGCACCCAGGTAAATGTAAAATCCATAACCAAAACCCAGTCTCAATTCCATACTTTCTACAAAAGATTTTGTACCAAAATCAAGATCCCACTTTTGATCTATATAAACCAACCAACTCAAATCAGCCAATGAGAATGAATACAACATCTCTATTGATCACTGACTTGTGTATCCTGGTATTTGACATTACAAACATGGTGTGATTAACATTTTCTCACCAAAACACAAAAGCTGAACTATCATTTGTTCTCCATATAATGGGAAAATATAATCAACAACTCATTTGGTTTATCAAAGTCTGCCACACCCCATAATAGTAACTGAAAACAATTTTAACTTATTATCAAGAAAACTGCAGCATTCACCCAGAATTCAAACAAAAGTTATCAATGACATAGTGTGGTTCACTTACTCTAAATTTCTAAACGTATAGCAGAAAAATACAATAAGCAATCTTATCTTATAAAATCTACTGTAGACATTGACACCAAAATGTTAAGTTCTTCTGCAAATACCCTAAGGACCTTCCTATAATCCAAAACCCCTTTACCTAATATTAACCATTAAGATAAAAGAAGGATTGAGTTTAAATGTTCAGATATTCTACAAGATGTTTTATTTATAATATTTAATAAGCATAGGTGAAAGGGACCATTTCCATCAAAACATACTAATTCAGAAAAATACTCATCATTCATGCTGAATTTTGAAGCAAAAGGCATTTTTTAAAAAAGTTCATTAAAGTCTCACAGAAAATCAAATATCCTTAACCCACTGGTTAAGCAAGATGCTTTCAGAAAGTATAAAGTAGTATTTTAACTGAATAACCATTTTTTAAGGCACAAATAAATTTCTACAACTTTGTAAAAAGACAAATCTTAACCAACCAAGTAAAATATTTTCCAGCACACCATTTCCATTTTACCAGCTTTATTCAGTACACTTGACTGCTGGGCAACTGTAAAGGTCAAATGTTATTTAAGGCGACACTGAATATTTAATGAAACATGAGCTTAAAAAAAAAAAAAACCCAAACTGAGAAATTTTAAAGCGTTAGAAATTTTATTAAAGTTAACATTCCACAAGGTCATACTCATACAAATCAAACCGCAAAAAATTCCAGGCATACAAACTATCATCTGTTAATGTGCCATCTTTTTCTACAAATGTCAAAAATATTCTTAATGATACAAAAAGTCTCTAGAAAGTCAAATTCACTGTCCATTTGTGCTGTTAAGAAACCTATATCTTCATTCATTTCATGAAATCCATGTTAAAAGAACCCTGTCTTGGTTGCATATTATCACAGCACTCTTGTATTAATCCATTTTTCTCAATTCCCCATAGTGGACTGCCATCTTGATTTCTCAGTGGTAGGGTCCATTTGAGACTCTTCAAGCTGACTGGTGCTTGATGAAAAACATTAAAAGAAAAAAAAATGCTGTTGGAATATCAACAATCATATTCCTTCAAACAGACAACATCTACCCACCTTGAAGATAAGCATACCATACATAATGCTTTAATAATTTTGTAACAACTTTAAACTCTAAAATTGTATTATATTAAGTTGCATGTGCTGCACAGACAACTTCTCATTGAGAAGCATGGCAAAAACAGCACACCAGTAACAAAATTCTTTTACTGTCATAGATACAGAGTAACCATAAAAATGTGGCAGTTAAGAGTCACACTTTTAATAGTTAAATGTTGTTATACTATCTACATGAGAAATGGAAACAAAAATTCAAATCCAACAATTCTGGAAAGCTAAAGTACAGCAACACTATGGATTCTAAATCTCAATGCAGAAAACTTTCCAAGCTTCTTCAAATAAAACTAAATATGGAAAAGAATCTTAAAAGAATTAAAAAAAAAAAACCAAAGGAGTGGATCATAGCAGTTTTCTGGTGCAACAGATCTTAATTTTGCATAGAAAACACAAATGGCCGATACAGATAATCTTGAGCTACATACATGAGAATGCAGGAAACATAGCCACTAGAAAACAAAATGATCAAACATGCAGAGTATTTGCCTGTCTTATTTGATGTATCAGATTTCAAATTCAATACAAATAAAATTCTCATTTCAAAAACATCAAATATTCCTCATTTTTTAAAAAAATTATTACTTAAATAATTTGAACTAAAGGAATTAAGGGAAGTCAGGAGATTTTACCATTAAATAAATGGCCCTGATTCATCATGATCAAACATAATTAGAAAAATAAGCTTTAACTCTGATCTTCTCTATAAATTTTGCAGCTCTCAAACTAAATTTATAGCAATAAAGTCTGGATGACTGACTTGGAAGTTATTAAATACAAGGGCATTTTTTGCTCACTAGGTAGTTAATACATTCATTCCAAAACTATAAGGATTCATTGTTGTTGTTGTCTACTATATACAGTACAAAAATCTACTGAATAAATCACATGATTAACCAAGAGATATCACCACTCATTAAACAGATACTGAAAATGAGTGTCACAACATCAATAAACATCAAATGAAAGATATTTCTCCCAAACATTTTTTGCCGATATCTCTCCAGCCTAAAAGGAGAACTAAAAATAACTCATTTATTTCCCATATCAGTAAAATAGCTTCCACTTGAATTGTTCATTCCTTAAACTTAAGGGACATATATCTCTATATTAAAAAGATAAAAACCTTCATTCCTCTTTATTAGTTAATTATAAACCAATTTCTCAAACTCTGTTACAATGAAGGAACAAGCTCTAAATGAAGTTTGGAATGTAAACACTATTATGATGAACAATGACATTAATGCATTGATATCAAGTTATAATCATTACAATAGCAATAGGTGCAATTTACTCAATCTAGTACACTAAATGATAAACTCAGTGCTTCATATTCTCCTGCCACAAGGCAAGAGGTAAAATCCATTCTTGACACTATGTAAAATATTAAAACCTTATTTAGATAAAT